GGAAGACTCATGGTAATGAAGGATTCAGTCTTGTTCAGCCAGGGTAATCATTACAAAGCCACGCCTAGTACACAATGCAATACAAAAAGCACAGGAGCCCTGCATGCACAAGTGCTACCAGTCCCTTAGGTGGCTGAGGTGAAAATTCTATGAACTCCTTTCTCTTGGAATTGTTCTCTGGTAGAAGAGAAAAATGTTTATATTTCATTTTATTGTTGTTTTTTTTTTTTAATTACATAAACTATGGCACCTATTGTGATTAAATCTTAAGGGTAAAACCAAAAAAGAAATCTGAAGAAACTATGTTGCATAAGGACAAATAGCTATGACTAGAAATAGATATTAAATGCATATTTATAAATACAGAAAAGTAAAATGCCTAAGTGCCTTCTCTACTCTGTGTATGTAGATGGTTAGCATATCTTTTCTTAAAAGCTGTATGTATGTTTCTTTAATCCAGATTCAAATCATATGGCAAGTGGTTTGGAAACACCAGGTACGCATGTCAGGGACTAGGGCACCAGGCTACCCTGGCACATTTTCAGGCCAACTGCTGGACTGCTGCTTGGCATAACTATAAATCTCCCCTGCTGGCAGCTTGTGTTCCAGACTCCTGACTGGGCCTTGCCATTTGCCCTGCATCGTTTTGGGCAGATAGGCAGGTAGGAAAGCACAACTGGGGATAGTTGAGCAATGAGGAGCTGCTGTGACCACAGCTGGTGCCAACAGCCTGGCACACAACCCACCCTTCCCCCTTCCTCCTCACTGAGCACTGCAAAGGTTTCAGGTACTTAAAATGTATACAGATTCTAGTACAGTTTGCTTATTTACTGAGTTTTCTTTTTTTTTTCCAGTTTAAAATTTAATTATTCCTGTGCTAAAGGGAAAACAAGATATTTCCATCACCCATTTTCCCCAAGGACAATAGTACACATCCTTATGGACACACTTTTAAAACACATCAAAGTGTTTCTAAATGTGGGAAAAAGGAACAAGTTCAAAACAAAGAGAAAAAACATTAACTATTAACAGCAGTTAACTTACTCTAAAGAGATATTTCTCATAAAGCAAAGGGGTCTTGAAGGTTATGTTTATGGAACAACACACACAAACACACACACATTCTCTACTCTTTTTTTTTTTTACTTGCTGAGAATGTTTATTCTAATTAAATAGACCATTTTAAAATTCAGATGATAGAGAAATCCTAAAGTGCACAAAATAAACAGATTCTGCTCTTTTGCTCCTTTAAGAACCAAGTCGCACCCTAATCTTTCTTCTCCTTCTTACTTCATCTAGATTCCTAGCTGAGGGAGCTAGTGACCTAATTCTGCTCAGTTTTAATGCAACACAGGAGCAAATTCAGAATATCTCCGTACTGGTCTTGCTAGGATTGCAGAACCCCAAAGTCATTCTCCGCCTCCATAGGTAATCCTGTGATCAGCTCTAACACCACCTGCCAGCCCTTCTATCAGCTTGTTAGAGAAACATCTTTACCTCTTGTCAAGCAGTGACCTAAAAAGTTTAATCTGATTTACATTTTCAAGGTCTAAGTGGGTGCAATGTTATCTATTCTTCCCTAAGCCAATGTTATCTATTCTTCCCTAAGTTTTTGTCTCTGTCCCATCCCCATTCTCATGGTCCCTCCAGAAGTATAATTAAAGGATCACATGGAGCTTGTGGTCCCTTCTACATTATTTCAAAAATTTACACTTGTCCTCAAAACAGGTGCCCACTCTGCTCAATTTTTATACTGAATGATTGGCAAAGCAAAACTTTGCAGTTCCCAACCTAAGAAGCAGTGAAGCTCTAAACTAGGAATCTATTGACATTCCCAAACTGACATTATTTAATGATCAAAATAAAATGCATACATTAAATCCTGGCCAATTTGCATACTCTATTCTTCCACATACACACAAAAAGCTAACTATTTTTAACCTATGACTGGTACATCCATTTGTTTTTAATAATGTCTTAGTTATATATAACCATATTTTTACATAACCATATAGGTCTTTATCATTCAAGGTACATGAAGGTTGTACATTAAATTTTGGCATGGTTGTAGAAGGTACGATTCACAGAGTAGAGACTAGATAAAAATAAGCATGCAACAGCATGATACTGAATCATCAGAACTCTATATCTTATCAACAAATAAAAGTCATTCTTCTTTATTTCTTGAGCAAAGCAGTTGCATAGAAGATAAATAGCTTTCAGTCAGAATAGCCTAGCATGCAATATGCATCTTTTTGACATGTATATTCTAATAGTACTCTAGACTATAAGATTAAAATAAGAAAAATCTCTGAGTTGTATGTTGACAATAAACACTAGTTGAATCTGCATTTTTTCCATTTTTCGTCTCCCAGAATTTGGCTCAGTGTGTATATCTTTGTACATTACTATCTATTATTAAAGGATCGACTTCTAGTGACCTTCAAGTATAGTTTTCTAAAGTTTTATAAGTGAAATAATTTGGGGGGTTTGTGCTTTTTTATATCAAACATTGAATGTCACATCATGCGTTGGAGATGTTTTTTGTTTTCAGAGAGCAGGGTATAGTAGACTGTATTTCTAATATTTGCATTTAGGAGACTGGTTTCTAAATAAGTGACCTTGAGAAAACTGCTTACCTCCTCTAGTTTTAGTTTCCCTACCTTGCAAAGAAAAAATTTGGGTCAGATGGTTTTTTAAAATTACACCTAGCTCTAATTTGATATCATCTACAAATTATTTCTTTGTTAACATAGAGAGTAGATGGGTGATGAGGAAATTGGAATGAAGAAAATGAGTGGATGCCAAAAGTGGCCCAATCCTTTGGCACTGAACTGATCTTCCCTCCATGGGTCCCTGTTGAAAACTGTTGTATAGCTGAAAGCCCTGCTTGCCGAAGGCCCCTTCCACTTACAGTCCTGTTGTAATGCAACCATAATAGCCTTCCACTTTTCAGGGAATCAGGCTGTTGCAAGCTTTCTGTTCCACTTAAATGTTAACTTCCACTTTCTGAGTTGGAAAACTGAACTGAAGCTCTTGTGTAAATTGGCAAAGTAGTAGAAAATTTCAATTTTCAAATATTCATTGTTCTTTTCATATTTACTAGTTCGCATGTGTGGAAGAAAGAACTTGTGTTTTTATAGCAGACTGCCTTGGGTTAAAACTCCATTTCTGCTACTTATCTGTTTGGCCTCTTTGAAATTTATCTCTAAAATGCTTTCTTATCTGCAGAATGGGCCAAATTCCTACCTGGCTGGTATTGTAGAAGAAAAGTAATTATATACGAGTCTTCAAAAACTACTCATTCTTCTTCCTCCCTGTACTTCAGCATCAAATTATTTTGGAGAGAATTGACAATGGTACTGACCATTATCAATTACGAGAAATCTACAGAATCTATTTTTTAGCCTCACAGTGCTTAGTGAGGAGATATGTTTTGAAAATGACAAAATGTGAAAAATGTGGTGGGGACACTCTCTTTACCTGAAAGATATTGCTACCTCAGTTTACAGTGATCAGGTTTGTTTGCGCTTGTACTGTTGAGTACATTGACTACTTAAGTTTGACCTTTGTCTGCTTCTGTGACTCTTCTCTCTGCATCTTCTAGCCTTCGCAACTTTAAAGAATGCATATAAATACCTAGGCCCAAGAATAAAATCATTCTGAAGATGTCAAATTAGTCATCCATGTGAACATTCTTTGAAAAGGATGAAGATCTGTGCAAACTCAAGACAGTGAACAAGAAGAATATGAGGTACAGTTTCTAAAAAATAAACTAATACCTATTAGATAAAAGGCCAGTGCCTAATAAACATGTGCTGTGCAACTATGCCCGTTTTGTGTGGCATATGAAAGAGAATATAGGGAAGGCCACAAAGGATCAGTCAGGAAGCCTGGGTCTTAAGTACAACTTTCTTCCTTAGTCTCTATCTGGCCTGTTATTTGTAGTGTTAGAAAGTATAGCATAACATCTCAAATACTGGTCTTAGCTCTTCAATTCAGGTACATGAGCTTAGACAAGTTATTTATCTTTTTGATTTCTCATTATAAAAATAGGGAATGTACAATTTAGCTCACAGAGTTTCAGAGAGCATTAAAGAAGGTAATAAATGTGAAGACCTTGGCTCAAAGTTTTACTCAGAGAACATGTTCAAAAAAAGTAGTTAGCATTTAATATTACTTTAGAAAGAGAAGATTGGATTAGATGATCTAAGTTCTTTTTCATCTTTAAAATTAGACACTTCCTCCTCTCCCCCTTTTTTTTTCCTAACAAAATACTCCTTGCAGATCTTGGCATGGCCTAAACTCAAGGTTCTGGGAGCCTGACCAGATTCAGTAAGAAGAGTGTTCAGATTGGGCAACTGTAAAAACAAAAGCTGTCCTCTCATCACAAACCCAGTTGGTGTAGCCAGTATTCTGCCACGAGTGAATCTTCATGTATTACTCTATCTTAAGTTTATACTTACAAATACATAGAACCATCTCAGATAATAAAATTGAGTGTTGAATATTTTTGCAAGCTACTATAACATTTTGAAAGAATATTAAAAACACATACGAGGTGTGACTATATGGTAATGAAATGAATTTTCTTGTGTGGCACAAAAGCTCATTAGCTTAGAGCCATGCTCAGTGCTGTTCTACAGAAGTTGCATATGACATTTCTCGTAATGGCTCATGCTGTCACTAAGTATTTGTTTCTGATTCCCTCAGTCTTTGGGAATGCAGACATCCACTTGTGTGTAAGTTAATGGCTCTGCAGAATCTGAATGAGTTGCTCAGAAAAGTCTTTTCATTTTCTGAGACCAGTAAGGAAAAAAAGGTCCTCTTCCTAATTATATATTTGACCAGAGTTGTTTCCAAATATATAAGAAAATATTTATTTTGTGAGAAAGAATGCTTTATATGATTCTCAGTAAATAAAATGGGGGCTTTGTTTTTAACGATTTTACTATTTACATTAAACTATGATTATCAGCTAGGGAGAAGAGTAAACTTACTTTCTTCATCAAGGAGATTTTCAGCAGCTGATAGTAACCTCATCCTGTCTTCTGGGTTTTTAATGTTTAATTCAATGAGATGACTCTCTTTTATATCCTTTAAATCTTCTATGGCCTCATAACCATTGAGTAAAAGTGTTGATGTGTAGTCCTGTGTGGGAGAAAAAATATGAATAATATAAGGTAGTCAGATTCAAATATTTTATTTTTAGTTCTCTTTAGATTTAAAGAAAGTATAGAAATACATATGGAAATCAAAAGTGCAAATAGAACTTTTGCTGAACTTTATTATAGTTGTACTAGTTTTCCACATATGAACTCTAGGGCATTTAAAATTGTATGCTATACAATTCCAACCTTCTGGAAGGACAAATATAAAGAAGAAAATATTACCTTAAGCTGGACAATGCTAAATCACGGATCAGTTAAATAGCTGGATCATTCATCCCTTTGGGCATTTTTTCACTTCTCAAATAGCTGTATTGACAAAGCTAGAGTGTCCTTAAATCTATCAATAAAGTGCCTCTAATAGAGTATATTATAGTAATACTTTTGAATCTGCATCTCTTCTTATTTGCTCGATTGCAAAAACAGCTATCCTCATTAACTTCTTGGAGTAGGTTAAAAAATGAATTTGAAATAGATACAATTTATATAAAAAAGTGGACTTAGCATTTTGGTTATAAATCTAAGGAATCCAAGACTTTCTATTTAATTAAAAGCTTTTATTAAGCTTTTACAAAAGCACTGCGACTGGGAAAAGTATTGTTTCCTTTTCTCAGAATGTATGTCTTGCCCATCATTTACATCAAGATCTATTAGTTCATAGGCTTCTGATTTCAAAGTCTGTATGCTATTTATGCAATCTCTATTCTAACAAATTCAAAGTGAAGTTGAATGTTTTCCAGCTTCCTCAAAAATTCTTCCCATTATACTTGATTATTATTTTAATATCCTTATTTTAGTTATTAAAATTGAATAAGAGAGTGTGTTAAAATTTTAAGTAATCATGAAGAACTTATTACCAGCCCTTTATGGACAAAAGAAAAGGAAAAAGTAGCAGTTCTTTTAAAATTAATGTATCCTTGAAGGGACACTGTATTAGAAAAGAGAAAACCAAAATTCCCATTCTGACATAACCATCTAACTGTGGGTTCTTGAGTAAGTTATTTAACTTCCTTAGACCTTAGTTTTCTCATACAACAAACGAGTAGTAGAGGCAAGATTCAAACTTGTACTTCCTGCAAGGGGTGCCCAGTTTGAGAGCACTAGTAGTAATATAGGAAGGCCTGGAGAGTGTGTCTACAGACAAAAATATTGATAATTCAGGACAAACAAGGAAGGTTAAATTGGCTATTGCCTTAATGAATTTTGAAAACTAGCAAAGTACTACTATGTTAATTTTAAAAATGGATTGCAAAACAGTAAGTTGAGTAAAGCTAGGTGTACTGTATGTACACACCATTTAACAAGGTAAATATTTCATAAAAATTTTGCTAATATAACGAGAAAATAATTGGATTATAAATATAGAGAACAATTTCCTTAACACAATTATTTGGACTTAATGATCACTGTTTCCTAACAAATTACTTTTAAAACAATTATATTTAGTTATCTTAACTTGCTTTTGATCTCTGCTCTATAGAAAATACAATTTCATTTTTACTTTTTTCTTTTAATTTTCTGGATTTTTATTTTTACTCTTTATACTCTCTATCATTCTCATTTACATATTTTCTCAGAGCTTTTATTCTCCTAGGTATTTTTTCATTTTACACTGCACTTTCTCAACATTAATCTCTATTGTCATTGCTAAGTACCATTAGAGTTTAGTTCAAAGGATGTTATATCAAGACCTGTCCTTGCATAATAAAAGTAATAAAGGAGAAACAAGAACTGTTCTTGGAAAACAGATTTTCCTTTGTTCTAAGTCATCTATTTTTTAACAATTCTGTACAAACACTGATCCATTTCCCTCAATTATTCCTTCCATATGCAACGAAAGTCAAATAGGCACAGGTTTGCTAACCTGAAGGTGAATCTTCTCTAAGAACTCCTGCAGAGTCTTGAGTTTCTCTCTTCCACTCCTTCGTTGTGCCTTTATTTTCTTGGGAGCTGTTTCTTCTTCTGAGATGACATCCACATAAATAAATTTGAAGTTTCCCACCTTATTGTTCAACATTCCTGTCCACATCCCCATTGGTGTTTTGCAGATAATGTCTATGATGTCTCCTTTCTAAGGACAAAGAAATATACAAATCAGACTTTAGAGAACTCTGGTGCTATGACGATTGGTAGAAAAAAATAATGGATCATAGAAAGTTAGAAGAATGAGGGCATTGTGCTAAGGGGATTCTAAAATAAAAGAAATCATAGAGGAAATTTCCTTTAAAAGTCCAAGGAAACTATTTACTAGTAATAATGAAGGAAATGTTCTTGAAGAAAAGCTTCTACGTGCATTTGATGGCGTTTGTGTTTTTTATATCATATCAACTTTTCAACTTTTATTTGTAGAGCACAATGTAATTTACAAAACACTTTTGTACACATAAAGTCATCTTATGTCCAGAACACACCACTTAGGTACATACGTGAGGTGTCATTATTACTCTAAATATTACTAAAAAAAGAAACGTGGACTTAAATAATTTTCCAAGATTTCAGGAAGTTAATGACAGAAGCAGAATTCAAGCCTAAGCTATCTGAATTCAGAAATGATGCACTTTTTATTAGTTCTGTCAAAGCAATATATATGTAGCAAAGCTCAAGCCATCATTCCTAGAGGAGCTCCCATATTGGGGAAGGAGAAGAAAGAGAAGTCTGTGACTATACCTATGCTTCTAGTTCATCTGAAAAATTCATCTACAGTATAAAATAAACCCATCTAAAGTATTGCATCTATCTAACCTAATGAAACTGTTCAGAACTTTGTACAAACCAAATATGTAACAAAATTATGTGTGCATTAAGGATAAATTATGCTACTTCATCATTCTAAAGGATATAATACTTAGCTTGAGCTCCACAACAGTTTGAATTGAAGTATGAATGAAGCATACTGGGATGGACAAACCAGTTGGTCTTTTTCTTTATTCATGTCTGAGTCTAACTGGCTACAGACTGCCAGTTATTGACAGGAGTATAAAACCTCACAGGGGTATTTCCTTGCAAAGAAAATTGACTTTTATGCAAATACAGTGTCTACATTTATTTTTATTTTTATTATGGTGACATTGGTTAACAAAATTTAAAAGACATAGTTATTCCCTTAAGACATAACTTTCTACTCCAGGGAGGACATTATAGTTTCCGATATTTTTGCTATTCTAGGAGTCTACCTGCAAACGAAGTATTAAGTCTGCTACTAAAAATATGTTTTTTCTGCTGCTCCATGAATCCATATTCTTCCACCTAAAACACAAATTGTATTTGTAATAGTAGAATTCAATGTGATTAAAAGATCTGGTCTTTCTGATTTGTGATTGCTAATCTGACCCTATGAGCTGTTCATCCAGGTCTTCTCACCTTTAGCTATAGGGCTAGATGAGATCAGCTAAGCAGACCCAGAAAGTTTCCCAAAGCTCTAGGCGAAGTTTCTAAGCATGGCAGCTCTCTGTTCCATCCTTCTATTATTGTTTAAACTTGTAAAAGGGTATACATTCCAGGAAAGCTCAGCAAACAGAGACCCAATTTAATTTTGTATAAGATGCTTTTTGGAAACAATAGTATTCAATATTCACTTTTTGTGTCTTAGGAGAGCTCCACAAACATGCCTTAGGCAGCACCAGTGGAGGTATGCTGGCGTAATACTGTAGGGAAGGTGAAAGCTATCCTGAGTCAAAATGTATTCAATTCATTCCCTTTCATTGCCCTCCCCCGACAATGGTAACTAGGCTACTAGCATCCCAAGACTTGGACTAAGAAATGACGAAGGAGTTAATTGTGGGGAAAAATGTTTTCCTCAATCTCCAGCCAAGCTCACTCTGATTTGATACCACAGAAGGGATAAAAAGAAGTGCTTAGTGCCTTGAATGTGAAATAATAATATCAATACTTCATAACTTATCATAGTTATTGGTTAACATTGCCATGGTGTTGACAGTATAAAAAATTCATAAATTCTGTCCTTTTAGCTACATAGCATTTTATGTTCCTGAAAAGAATAATTTAACATCTATGAAATATTTTAGCATTAAACCTTCTTCTATTCGTGCTGTTGTAACCATCTCCTCCCCTTGAGTGAAAGCAGGGCTATGAAAATGATGAATTTCTCACACATGACCATGTTGTGTTATACGACAGAAGGGACTATGCAGATGTAATTAATGTTCCAAATTAGTCAATTTTGTAATTAAAAGGGAGACTATCTAGATGTTTCTGACTTAATTAGGTAGGAGCTCTTAAAAATAGAGATTTGAGGCATGAGCGAGCTTTTCTCCCACAGGCCTTGAAGGAGCAAATTTCCATGTCATAGAGAGGACCATGGCTGGCAGCCTCAAGGAACTGAGAATGGCTCCCAGCTGATGTTTAGCAAGAAAGCAGGAGCCTCACTCCTACAACCATAAGGAACCAAATTCTGGTAACAGCCAGTGAACTTGGAAGAAGATCCAGAGACTTAGATGAGATCATAGTTCCAGCTGACACCTTGATTTCAGCCCAGTGAGATCTTAAGTAGATAAGCCATGCCCAAATGTATGACTACAGAACTGTGAGATAATTAATGACACATTTGTGTTGGTCGAAGCTCCTGAGTTTGTGGTAATTTGTTTCACAGCAATAGGAAATGAATACTGAGAACAAGAGTAAGAAGAGGGAACTCAAGAGGGAATATCATCGAGAGAAAGATGTCTATTTACTCCTGGTAACCAAATTAAATACCGAAGTTGCCCAGCTAAGTGTGGTTCCCAAGGCCTTTGGTCTGCTGGACTCTTGCCTGCTATCTCTCTTTCCTCTCTCTCCTGGCTTTATTATTTTTACTTGAGCAAGTATCAGGCAGAGCTACTCAACTGCTTTCAGAAAAATGTAGATAATTCCTTCTCCCCGATAGGCTCTGATCCTATACATTATATACATAACAGCAACTTACACTAATAGCTTCAACAGACTGATTCTTCCCCCGTACCTGGTGTGTTTTGTTCTAATTCTTGCCTCAGTAAACAGGTCCCCAGTTTTACTACTGGGAAAAACACCCAGTTCCTACTGCTTGTACTTCTAAAACAGATCATACAACCAGCATTAGACAAACCACACAGAATGCAGATATGATGTGCACACACCTTGATTTTGAGGGAGTCAGTGTCATAGGGGCTTGGCGTGAAATCGGTATGCACTCTGGCACGGCCACAGAACGGGCCTGAGTAGGGGCCGTCATCATCAAGTCGAAAGCTGTCCCGGTTACTTGTACCATCTGAACAGCTTGTTATTCCACCTGATGAAGGCAAAGTGGAGGTTGACAGTTCTCATCGAAGGTTCATAAGCATCATCTGGACACAACTAGGCAGAGATAATGCTGAAACATTGGATGGCAGTCTCCAGAGGGGGTTCTAAGGGACCCATCCTGTTTTTGCTTCCCAGTCACTCTCCATCAGGCACTAGCTTTCCATAGTACATTCTAGTTAATAAAATTCTTCCCACATTCAACATCACAATTTAGAATTTTAAAACTTCCAGCAGAAATGAATACTAATAATATCTGAATTTCACACATGCAAAAATATATCCTTCAAATGTTTGTGCAGTAACTTTTTCCCCCCACAAAATCACTGTTCCATAGCCAATAGGAAAATAAGAATAAAATTTAGAATATTTGAAACATCTGGTCTTTGCTATCCATCTCCAAATAACAGAAGCAGTTAATTTAATAGGAAATGAAAAATAAACTTTGTAAAAAAAAAAATTTAAAGCCCTTAAAAGATTAGAGGGATGTATAACAGTGTGCATATAAAAAAGTTATAAGGCACCCTACAATATCAGTAGTTTCATCCAAATATTGTAACATGAAATGTGATTGAACTCTGAGGGATATCCTTCTTAGAAAATATCAATGCTTTTAGAAAATCCTTGTTGAACATGTACTGATGATATTCCTCTTATTTAATATTATATATTGCTTCATTCTTTATTCACTAATGCTGGATGGAAACCTAAAACATAATGTCAGAATTGATGTAAATGTCCTGCTTTTTTTGAGAATATTGAATTACAAAAGGAAAGGAAGAAAAAAGTAAGAGCAGGCTTGGAGAGAAGAGTAGAGGGAGGGCGGGAGGGAGAGAGAGAGGAGAGAGAGAGAGACAGAGAAAGAGAGAGAGATAGAGAGAGAGAGAAACTTTTCTAGGAGGTCCAAATCTAAACTTTAAAAGATGGAGGGAATTATCCAAAGTG